GACCCCAGCCTTCAGGATACTTAGAACAATAGTTAATATTTAAATCTTCATGTTTAGGTGGAAGCTTTGTGGTTTTTACTGCTTATATGGGGCTTATCTTAATGGCTGCAAATTAGTAAACCGGGGGCAACATCATTCTTTCATGTCTTGTTTTTTTTGGTGCATGTCTGCTCCCCATTTGTATCCTGAAGTGCTGCATTTCATAATTATTTATTGCTATCAGTCTTGAGTGTGGTGGTTACATTTCTCCACTTCCCAGTTTTTTCTGCTACCCTGTGTGAAAAAAAGAGGCAGTGTGGTGGAGACATCTGCCAACCTCTCTGCTCTGCTGGAGGGACTGAGGAAGTGCAGGATGAGGCTGGACAGGCAATCTGTTGATAATTCATGGCTCAACCAATCTGTTGTCTCCTCAAGGAAAATGCTGGAAGTCATATAATCATAGAATCCTTAGAGGTGGAAGGTACCTTTAAAGGTCATCTAGTCCAACTTCCCTGCAATGAACAGGGGAGTGCATAGCTCGATCAGGTTGCCGAGGTCTGATCTAGCTTCCCTTGAAAGTCTCCAGGGATGGGGCACCAACCACATCTCTGGGCAACCTGTTCCAGTGCCTCACCACCCTCACTGTAAAAGACTTTTTCCTTATGCCCAATCTAAATCCACCCTCCTTAAGCTTGAACCCATTTTCCCCTTGTTCTGTCACCACAGACCCTGCACAGAGCATGAGCTCCTCATTCCTCTGAGCACCCCAGCACCATGCAGCAATCTTTGATTGTCTGTGTGCTGCTTCTTTTCTTCAGCAAGAAGCCTTGGGCGCTGCAAGCTGAGGTGTCTGTGTGCTGGGGGAACCCTGATAGATGTGAGCATAAGGACTTCCTCCCACAATCAGCGTGAACCCTTTCCACAGTTGTGTTAAGGGTTAGCTAGACTCTTAATCAGTTAGCATTTCTCCCTTCGTAAAATGGCTTCATCCCTGCAAAATGCCTTGAAAGTCTTAGCTAGAAGCTGCTATAAGAATTGAAACTTTATTGTTATTATTAGCTTACTGTGGAACTAGAAAAAAAATTTATCCCAGACTTTTTCTCATGCGTGTTTAGGCCTAGCAGGCAGCCTGCATGGACCCAGATCCAGGCAGATTCACGGGCACTGTGTTTCTCAAGGCATAAATCATTTTAGAGACTCAGTAGGTTTAGCTCAGACATAGTCATCTTCTCTGTTTGAAAGAGAAGCTAGCTGCAGTTGTTAAAACCCATCTGTGGACATAATTTTGTTTGTGCATTAATCTCAGTGATCACCAGAGGTTGTTCTATTAAACAAGCAATGGCTTCTCAGTAACAGTGACTAAGAGCTGTGAAGGGGAGACAGGGCCTTATAAAAACTTCTTACTCTGATCCTCTGGAAAGGATCAGACACAGTCGGGAGCCTGCTCTGAAAAATGGGGATGATTTTTTGATGAGGTACATGGCTTGGGCAATCCAATTATGGACCATCAGATTCTCACACCTCCCTGGTGTCTGGATTTGCTCTTTGCCTGTTTTTAATTTGAGCTATCTGCGCTGATGAGATTTTGATAGTTTCATGTACAAAGCTAAGTGATAGAATGGTTTTGTGTAAATGGAGCTACACTGATTTGTGTGAAGCAAGGGCATGCCTTTCTGACAAAGATCTCTCTAATCTGTTGAACATTTTATGTTAGTGGCTATTGATTTTCTGATGAGTGTAATGATTAGGTAATTATCTATAAGTCCTTTCTCTTCCAACTGTGCTATGTGTCGTGTATGGTTTTATGGATTAAATAATGGCATACACTTAGCTAGCAGCACTGTGCTCCTGTACAAGATCTTTCTCACCTGTAAGTTAGATACACTGCATATTCTAGCATGGTATCAGTTAAGCTGACGTGCACCAAGAACCTTGCTGACCAATTTCTGGTAGAGGCGTCCAAATGAGTGCCTAATATCGTGCACTGAGGTTTTCAAGACAAATTCAGTTGCACTAACAAAGCTGCTTTTCACATTTTTGAGCAAATAATGCTCAGTGCAAGTACTTTTCAGTGGCATTTTTGTTGTTATTGAGTGGCATTATAGCTGTAGCTGGAATTTCTGGTGACCGTGCAAAGGCACAATGCATCTGCTCTCCTACTTGTCATGATGTGCTCAGGAGTTAGAATACAACAAAGCCTATGAAAACCAGAGTGAAAATAAATGTGAAAGCTGATCCTAAAACTGTTAGTGTCATTACTTATTACAATTTGATTGAGAAACTAACATGCTTATTTACCTCCCTTTCTTGCAACACCCTTCCCAGATATCCCCTTCTCTATGTTGTTAAAGAGTAGTTTTCATTCAGTTTGCACGTAATCATTTACCTTTAGCGTATACGTTTACAAAACGGTAATGCAACATGAGTTTAAAGTCAAATTCTTACCAAACATGGAGTAAATCAACACACTAAATGTCCAAAAAGCCCCCACAAGATGTACTTCGAAAATCTGAAGCTGCTCAGTTAGGAGGAATTTCAGTTCTTTGCAATTACCCCTACTCTAGTAATCCTACTGCAGGAGGGCACACACATCTGTTTGTCTTTGCATGCAACGTGCATTGTGGCAGGATGAAAATCAGAAGCAGAGCTGGTTGCCCTTCTAGGAACTCTTAGATCTATTGTAAGATTACTTTCTTTGCGTTTAGATTTGTGTAAGATGGAACAAGTAATAAAGAATAAAAACCAACTCAATTGTCACTGACTTCCAGAGCAGAAATTATTTTGAAACCCCCTCAATACACTTCAAAAGAGCTTATGTTATTTTCTTTACTTGTTCTTGTGTTCACTGCAGGTAAGAGACTACTTTTCAGCTTTGAACTAATTATCATTCCTGAAAGCATTTTCCAGACCACAGCCCATTTATGGCCTAGCTTCTGTGCTCAGTAAGTTGCAGGAGCAGTGTCATGAAGTAGCTCTATAGAAGAAAAAGTGGGAAAAAAAGTGGCAAAATACTTAACAGTGCATTGAGGCTATGATTAGAAGAGTGATAAATAGTTACAGTAAAATGATTAATTCTGCATCTTTTTCTTTAAAATAAAATGCAGCATTTGTTCACTATGGAAAGGTGAGGGTTGACCTCTTTTCCCATGTAACTAGCAATAGGACGAGAAGGAATGGCCTCAAGTTGCACCCGGGAAGGTTCAGGTTGAATATAGTGAACGATTTCTTCTCTGAAAGAGTGGTCTGGCACTGGCACAGGCTGCCCAGGCAAGTGGTGGAGTCATCATCCCTGGAGGTGTTCAAGAAACATGTAGATGTTGTATTCAGAGACATGGGTTAGTGGGACATATTTGGACAAGGTGACCTTGGAGGTATTTTCTAACCTTGCTGATCCTACCATTCTATGCATATCCTGGCCTCTGCCTGTGTACACATGCTCACTACATATTCTGATTTTGGCAGAAAGCAGATACTGGAGTCTTTTTTGCTTTGCATTTGCTACAAACAAGTTTTTTGGCCTCCACGTGACAGATCAACTATTTCTCCCCTGTTGCTCTCCAAAGTTTTTATAACATCAGCCTTAAAAATCTCATTTCTTTGGCAAATTTCTCCAGGATAAAGTCTGCCATAAAGTGGGAGAAAAATGCCTTTGGGCTTACGAATTCTTCCTTGCTGTTATTTTGAGAAGTGTCTGTGTTCATTGTTTCTCTGAAATCTGAACTTTTCCCACTTGGAGACGGTTGACTCCCTGAGAATCTCGCGGGAATGGCATTAGCTGCTGATCTCGCAGGAGGATGGGGTGCACAGAGAGCCAGGCCACGTTGATCCAGGCCGTGGGGCGTGTTTAGTATATAGGCTCAGCTGAGGGTGTCAGCTGTCATTCTGCTGAGCATCTGTCAGAGGAGTATATGCTTCACTGCCGTTGAATGTGAGTAATGCTTTCACAATATGGCAGTGCGATGCTATAGATTACAGTTGTAATGGAGCACATCCTGAACAGCTGAGCCTGCTCTCTCTCGCTCATTCAATAGCAAGAGTTGCCTCGCTAAAAGAGCTTGGGGGATTATGTACTCCAAACAGCTGTCTATAGCACTGTGGATTTATTTGGGCTAAATGAGAACTTGCTTTCTTTAGCTAAATCAAACTTTATCAGACAGTTTTACTGTTGGCAGTTAAAATAAAATGTGTTTGCTGAACAGTAAACACCTTGTTACTGTTAGGAAGGATTATATAAACAAAAGGCATACACAATGAAGTCTTATGCCAACTGACTTACTGTCAAAATAATATACTGCTGCTAGCGGAATTGTGCTCACTTGAAGGAAATTATAGGCCTAAAAACACATCTTGAGTGACAAAGAAACCATTTTTCCACAAATAATCTTTAAAAAGTTTAATACGCTGTGCCTCGTCAAAGTGGTTTCAGAGATGCAGGATGTTGTGTCCCTATAAAGGAAGGTTAGGAACAACTGAGTGAAATGCCTGAAATCTTCAGTTTTACTGTATTTGTGTAATGCTCTGGCTCAAGGAGATTCAGCACTTTCCTCTCTATGACATATGTGAAAGTGGTTTTGTTGTCCAACAAAAACTATAAACTCTCTCTTTTAAAATAGGATATGCCCTCCTTCCTTCATTTATTACACTACATAATCTATGCAGCTACAGAATAGATTTACATTTCATAAACCAGCTGCTTTTCAGTCCTCAGTAAACTGAAAATAAGACAGCTTTTCTGTTTTATAATCACAATAGGGAAGGAAGGCAGGTCCCAAGCCCAATAGAGTCACTGAAAGGAGTATCACTGACTACAAAGAGTTTTGTGTTATTCTTCAGAAAGTTTGAAAATGAGTTTATTTTCTTTGTGTTAAAAACAGAAGTCCCACTTCAGGAAAGCATAGAGTTGATGTTATTTAAACTCACTCCAATTCTACCAAGCAGAATAATTTGAATTTCTTTTAACTAACTAACTTTAGAACAACAAAATCCAGCTGAAATGACCAGAAAATGTCTTCTTTTTGCAGAACTTGTTATAAGACCTCTGTGCAAACTGGAAAGATGATTGGAACCTTGAAGGAGCAGTAGACAGAATCTGCAACAGTGAGTTCTGTTATAAAGAGCTATTTGAGGAAAAAAAAAGATTGATCTGTAAATTCTTGAGGACAGCTCTGTAATCTACAGAAATACGTGTCATTGAAAAATCTGTTAAACATAGTTTAGTGATACTAGGTTTGTTCATTACTAGGAAAATATCTTTCTCTAGGTGAAGAGTCTGCTGGAAGCTTAAAAAGGGGAACTTTAATGGTGCCTTATAAATTGTTCTTTGACTAGAACTGACTGTATCTGAAGTTAAGATGAAGTGTTCTACACATCTCTCTACTGAATATGGATTGCTTTCTTAATGTTACCCATGATCTTTGAAATGCTTCTTTTCCAGATTCTCATTTTAAAACTCATGTGACATTATTTCACCAATTTCATTGCAATTACTTTTTGCATGTCTTTGGTTTAGTTTTAGTTTTTTAGTTTGAGGACCCAGTAATAATCCCTCTATGCTCCAAATCATGGTATAGTTTGCAGAGCAGTAAAACGTAGGCAGATTCCTTAAATCCACCTTCTCACAAAATAGCCAGGAATGAAAAGACTACTTCTAATTTATCTTTCAGTAACAGACAGGGAAAGATACCTGGTTAATAAATATCACAGCTGTAAATTTAAGGACAAGGCTATCATTTAGTTGTGCTAACCTGACAGGGGCATTTAGATTTCTTTCCATAGGAAATCAAGGATAAATTGATTTCATGAGTATTTGCTGTTGGTCTTCTTTAAGAGTATGTATAATTTATGCTGCTGCACAGCTACACTATGTTGGCTAATTAATTAGGGTCAAACCTGTGACAGGTTCACACTGTTGACCTTTGACATAAACCTGAAGGATTAAGAAAAATGATCACCTATTTTTAATTATTTTCTGAATTCAGTTTTAAAAACACGCAACTATGGACGGGGTACTTTAGAGATAGCATAATACTTTAGTGTTTTGTTCTTCCTTCAAACCAGGCATTAAAAGACTTACTGCTCAAAGAAAGGGTCTGTCATTTATGAAACACAATGCTAACTTGGTAGTACAGCATACTTCTTTTTTGCATATATCAAATTCCTGCTTACAGTGTGTCTGATAACAGAACAGAGCTGTGACAGAGAGAGGTGCGTAATAAAAATCAGTTCTCTCATGCACTAACAAGATCCAGAGAGAAGCAATTAGCATTTCCTGAGCAAGCTGGTCTCTAAGCAGCAGGTAAGGGAAGCACAGTTTCCTTCAGATTTACTTTTTTTTTTTTCTTTTGTCCATTTAATTTCTTGGTTGCAAAAGCTCTTGACACTTCAAGGGAAGAGATAAAATGTGTCATGTATTTGGAGCTGCTTGCTTCCCAAGTATCTGGTTTGTTCATGCATTCTCTTAGGCCAGGTGCTACTGCTCTGCTGAGCGTTTAATTGCAGAATTCTGCTTGCCCCTGTTTGGACCATTGCACTGACCTACCTACTGATTATCACTGTATCTCTAGGAACTTAGTTATCTCTGTGACCTGTAATCTTTGTCAAATGTGGTTGACATTTGGGAAAGATTTCAGAAGTTAGAAAGAGAAAAACTGTGTGATTGTACAGGCTCATTTCCTCAGGGAAGAGTAATACACAATAATATATATGTATTTGCAGTGATTTATCTGGTAACATATGTACCAAAGCTGTAGGTAATTTGAGATTTTGTGGTACGTATAAATGCTGTGTTCTGTGAGTAGCAAAGTGAACTGAAGTTAAAAAGTTGAAACACGAAGGAGCTCAGAATGTTCTTACCTTGGATCTGCTGCCAGAAACATAAAGCATGTTACCTTCAAAAATATGAGCCCTGTCTTCCAGATGATGTGTGCTTGGCCTTTAAACAGGGATCAAGCTCTTTGCTTTTCAAAAAAATAAATGGACACCTATACTCTGTCTTCTATCTCTCAATTACTCTCCTTGGGAATTAGACATGGAGTCTAAAAGCCCTAAGCAAGAATAACCAGTATCTCTAGGTAGCTGCTTTTCTGGATTTTCCTAGACTGCATTCACCTTAATTTAAGCTCATTTTATATTATCTCTGGGGCAGATTCTCAGGCATCTCTCACTGCTGTTCTTGAGTCCTAGTTGTTCTTCTTGATCACTATTAAACTATACACCAGTGGTTCTATTTTTAATTGACGTACTGGTGGTTTGCAGCTGTTATGTATTTCTACCGGTGACAAACGTGCGCATCTTTAGTACTGTTCACTGGACTGTGCTTTTGATTGAAGAGGGCCTGATTCACATAGTGCTGCAAGCCACTGATGTAGTGCAGTCCCTCGTAACAGCACTGGAGTCCTCTTGCAGTGTCTTTTTCCATGTTTCAATATTCAGGTGGTATAGATAGCTAGCGCTTCATCAGGTGGTGATAAATCAAATGCTTTATGCATTATTGCTCCACCTGCAAAAAACAATGCCTTGACTTCATTAAATTAGCATTTGGCATTCATTTCCTAGGTTGTATGGTCAATAATTGCTCATAATTTGGGTCCCTGAAACTAGAATGTCCTCTGGATTCAGTATGGAGCATAATGAGGTACAGGAAAAAAATGGTCTAGTTCAGTTCTTTGGTTTTTAGGAAAGGGGGAATGGCTTTATACTAAAAAAGGGGAGATTTGGATTAGATGTTAGGAAGAAACTCTTTAATCAGAGGGCAGTGAGGCTCTGGCAGAGCTGCCCAGAGAAGCTGGGAGTGCCCCATCCTTGCAGGCACTCAAGGCCAGGTTGGATGGGGCTATGGGCAGCTGAGCTACTTGGGGGGCAGCCCTGCCCATGGAAGGGAATGGAGCTGGATGGGCTTTAAGGTTTCTTCCAACTCAAACCACTCTGTGATTTATAGTATCTGCTTCTCGGAGGAGACTTTAGGAAGAAAGTGCTGAAGTGCACGCAGTCGAAGGTCTCATGGGGAAGGGGAGGTAACTAGAAATCACCAGACAAAACATTTAAATCAGAAGGCTATTTGAAGAAGACACACGATGTGAAGTACGTGTACTTTCTGATCTGCAGGCAAATTAATTCATATCAAAGGCAGGTTATATGCTTTGAATTGTTAAAAGCTCTGTAGCTCTTAAAATAGCTGCCAGTCAGAATATGGTTTTGCATGTTTTCGGTAACACACATTAGTTCTGACCCTCCTCCAACTGAAATCAATGGGAATTTGGCCAACTACATCAAAGGAAACAACACTGGGACATGTAAGCTTGATGCAGATGACTGATTATTGAAAAATATGTATTTGTATGCGTGAGAAATAGGACAAAATAAGAACCAGGAACATAATCCCCATTCAATTTAAATAAGTGTTTGGATTTAAATTTATTTTTTTTTTTAGACTCTGTTCCAGAGCAGATTTAAAACTGCACAGAAAGCTGCCCTATTCCATTTCCCCCTTTTTCAAGGTGGCAGTAGTTTCAGAAAATCAGATTGACCTGTGAGATTACTGGCACTGTGGAAACCGAGAGCTTGTCGGCATGATTAGGAACTTTCTCATGATTGCTGAAACATTGGAGTTTTCCCTTGATTTGGCCTCAGATGTAAACTTTGATCCTGAGCCTGAAATGTGCCCTGCTGTAATGTAGTTATCTCTAACCTGAACCACATACTGAAAGGTATGCTCTGGGATCTCCAGAGAGCTCTCCAAGCTAGAAAGTCTGTAAGATTGACTTAACTAGGCACTGAGAGATGGAGTGCCCTTTGTCTCCCTGCACGTGAAATCAAAGGAAATAACCTGGGGAAGATGTACAGTTAGCGCAGTGAGAGAGAATGCTTAACATGAGCACTGGGCATCTAAGTGCAATAGAGAACTGAATAGAGCTGAATCCAAAGGGACTTCTGAAGGTATGGAGAGAATTCTACTGACAGATGCATGGCTACGTACAAGAGATGGCCACTTTTGTTTTTCCCTCTCTGCGTTCCTAATTCTAGAATGTACCATTTTATCTAAAATGATTTTGATGGTAATGCTGTGGATTTTGCTTTATGCAACTTTTGGCGGTGCCAACAGCAAAAGATGATCTTTTGGGGAATGTTTCTGTTCGCAGTGTTCATAAAAATTGGACTACCTGCATCTGCAAAAATGAATAAATAGATCAGGAAGCATTCCATTTACTTTCCAGTTTTGACTTTCTACTAATATGCTGTTTCTCACTGCCCATGTCAAACTATCACAGACACCCCAAGTACACCCTCCCATAACAAAGAGCCTGCACTGCATTTAAAATCCTCAAAATAAATAGAAAATAACTCCTTTTTTTTTTTTTTTTTCCACCCCAAAGCACTCACATTTGTTTCTTCAAAATTAGGACTCAGCAAATAGTTGGAATACATCTGTACTCAGAGGAATCCACATCAGATCATAAATTTGTTCATGTTAAATACAAACATATGAATGCACTCTTACATCCAGGAACTATAGAGGGGTTTAGAATTTGCACACTTCAGTCTGTGTAATGCCAGGGCAATGTTTCACTCATCTATGTAAATAGAAAGCAGGCCTGTTGCATTAAAGGCATAAGTATCCTTATGCTCTGCATAAACATCAGAGGATTCAATTTTGGGAAGGAATCACATAATTTGTCATATCTTTTATTGTGATTGACTTCAGTGACGGGCATATACAAACATGATTTTCCACTCAGTGAACCATTTTGTCTCTTGGTGTGCATTTGCTGCCAGGGTAGCGGAAAAAAGATTAACTTACGATATGCAAATCCTAAAGCAGGACGTATTTCCCCATCACAGGAGTAGTTTCTAGCTTGGCTATGCTGCATGCACCATAGGGGTACTGGAAGCGTGTCTGCCCCTCATTATTTCCCCCTCTCCATAAAAACAAAACAAAACCTAAACCAAGCAACTGACAAGCTTTCTTCTTAAAGTTTATTGTTTGTTGAAGAGGGTAAATGTGAAAACAGTTGGTACAAAAGCCCCATTATTTAGTCTTTG